AAAAAAATTTCAGCCAAACATTTGCAATTTTCACTGATTTCCGCCGATTTCAGCCCTTTTTTGGCTGAAATTTTTTTCAAAATTTTTTGTTTTAAATACTAGGCTTAGACAAAAACCCCTTGTTTCCCTTTCTCTGGGACATCCGCATTTGGGCGCCAAATTTAAAAAATTTGGATGCCCCCCCCCCCCCCCCAACTAAGGTAGTGCCTTTTTTTGTTATTCAGAACTCTCAACTTCGAAGAATTTTCAGATGAACGAAGCGGTTATTAAGGATGAAGTCATCGAAAAAACATGCAATTTTACGTTCAGAAATGGCGAATACGTCGAAATAAAACAAGAAGAAGTTGAACTGGAACCTGAAAATCTGCTAGAAAAAGAAATCAAAATGGAGACGAATGACGATTTTTTTGAACAGAATAATTCATATGAATTTTTTGAAGAGGTCAAACTGAAGTCGAAAGAGAAAGATTTCAATATTAAGAAAAGGTCCAAAAAAGTCGGTTTTTTTCAATGCGAAATTTGTCAGAAGATGATGTCAAGAACTCTTTTGAAAATGATCACATCGGAAGAGGACAAAACTGTGCTGTCTGAAATTTTCAAACTTGGAAGATCTCTGGAAAAAAGGACCTATGTCTGTTTATCTCATATTCAAAAGATTATCGACGATAACAAAGGAATACAAACTTCTGAGTACATTATGCGCTCATTCATTAGTAGGAACAAATGTTTGATGCAAGTCAAAAAAAAATCGATAATTTTAATAATTCCAAATTGCAGGAGAAACAGGAAATCAAGACGTAATTGCAAAGTCTGTCACATGTCCAAGGACCTTTCTGAGTTATATCACATTTATTCGAAGAATGTTCGAATTGTGTTAATGGTTGGGTGCATTCTAAGTGGCACTCATTCTGTGAAGCAAGCAATGGATTATACAACGAATATCAATGCAGCCACATGTTATTCCCATCGCAAAGAGTCGATTGACATCATTTTTGAACAGTTGAAAATCGAAAATAAACAGGAAATTTTTCAGTGCCCCGTACCCGTGATGGGTAGTTTGATGGATATTGCGAAGAACTTCGACCCGAATTTTACAGTAGATCAATTTATTCTTGCATTCAACAAGCTTTCTATGAAAAGACCAAACGTTTGAGAAAAATTCGTTATTATTGTTATTGCCTTTTTTTCACAAAACTTTTTTTCCTTAATTATCCTTAATTTGTTATTCGAAATTTGTCTGTGTCAGTTCCCACTAATTGTTATGTCGCTCAATGAAGCAATGCAATTTGCTTATCTTCTCAAATTTTTCGTAATTCTCCCTTACATTTATGTTCCTTTTGTGTTATTTTTGGAATCTTCAAAGGTTTTGCATTTTTTTTCTCCGATGATTGGAGGCTGAAAACCGAGACGCCACCGATTCCGAGGAAGGGGTTGTCTCCGAGGAACCGATTCCGAGGAAAACGTTTTGTTAATCTCTGAGATACTATAAGCATGTTTTTATAACAATTGGATGCCAAGAAAGAAAGAACAAAGTCAGCAGGACGTGGCAAATGAGGATCCAAATTCAGAGGAGCTCATGGAGCAGTCAGATGAAAGTATTCCAATTGAACCGAAGCAAGAAGAAAGTGATGTAGAAGTCAAAGAAGAACCACTTGAAGATAATCCATTTGAGCAAGAGCCAAAGCAGGAAGTAGACGAAGTAACGGCGGAGCAGCTGGTAAAACTGTAATTAGACGATTATATTGATTTTTGAGGAGATGTCGGTCAAGGAGCATTCAATGGGCGCATCAATTATGAGGAGCTGGATAATCAGGAGTTGGTGTATCCCGGATTTCCAGAAGAGTCGAAACCAGAGACGTCTGTCAGACTCCAGAAAAGACACCAGAGTTCAACTACGGATAATGGAAGGCGTGTGAAAACAGAAGAGGTGGTGTCAGCCGGTACATCGTTGGGTTCTATTGCTACGTCGTCCAAACAGAATCCTGACACCGGATTCTAAAACTAATTGTAGTATGGTGTTTCTTGTTTTAACCACATCGTGTCAATCTTTTTATGTCACTTCTTTGTTACATAATTTATATGCACATTTCTTACCGTTTCGACAAGGTCTTTCTTAGTTCCCAATTTTCTCACTTCCATTATTTGTTTTGAAAGAAAGTATCATGTCAAAGTTTTGTTATTATTATTATTATTATCTGAAAGTTTTCCTGTTATTTCGATTTTTCGTCAATTAAAGGTGGGGGGGGGCATGAAAAAAATAATGTTCTCGAAATTTCGTTCAAACATGCCCCTCGAGGAGTTGAACTTGTGAGGGCGATGATTGAGGGTGCGGCGCCGCTACCGTCTGAGCCACGCGGGCAAAGAGAAAGCGCACGCCCAATTGCATACATAAACGCGAGGACGACAGCTGTACGCAGAGTGACATTAAGCGTTGTACACCGTGACGGTAGAATGCATACTCTAGCTACAAAAAAACTACGAAAAATCTCCTGTCCCCCCACCTTTAATAAGACACCAAGCGGAATACAATTTTCGATCATTCGTTTCTTTTTTTGTCATATTCATATTGACACCTGATTTTTACCGGTATCTCACCTAGCTGAATAACCCCATAAGTTTTCTTTTCAGGCGAAGTCGGTATCTTTTAATCTTCAATTTATTCCGCAAAGTGGCGTTATTTATGGCGCCTGCAGTCGTTCTCCCTCCTTCATTTCTCTAACCATCTCGTTTCTCGCGTTTTCGCATGGACTTTTTTTTTGAATTTATTTTTGTGTCATTTTCTATAAAAATTCTCGAATTTAAAACAGTTAGACATAAAAAGTCAATTTTTTGCTATTCAAACTAATAATTATGAAGAATTTCCAGATGAATGAAGCGGTTATCAAAGAGGAAGTAATCGAAGAAACATGTAATTTTACGTTCAAAAATGGAGAATACGTCGAAGTGAAACAAGAAGAAAGTGAACAAAAACCTGAACATCTTCTAAAAACAGAAATCAGAACGGAGATAAATGATGAATTTTTTGAAAATAATAATTCGGGTGGTTTTTTCGAAGACGTCAAACCGGAGCCGAAAGAAAGCGATTCAAAAATTGAAAAGGCATTCACAGAAATCGGTGCGCTTTCGTGCAAAATTTGTCAGAAGAGAATGCCAAGGAAATATTTAAAATGGATCATTTCGGAAGACGATAAAATGTTGCTTTCTGACATTTTCAAAATTGAAATGTTTATGGAAAAGAATCCGACCTACGTATGTGTTTCTCATATTCAGAAAATTATTGATGATAACGACGGCAAAGTGAAGTTTGCGAGTACTCCGATTGAGCAAAAATTGCGCTCATTCATCACAAGAAACAAGAAAACGATGCAAGTCAACGAAAAATGATAAATTTAGTAATTGAAATTTTCAGGAAAAGCAGGAAATTACGAAGACAAAATTGCCAAGTTTGTCACATTCTGAAAAACCGTTCCGAATTATATGAAATTGGTTCAAAGAATATTCGAATGATGATCATGACAGGATGCATTCTTCGTGGGACTCATTCAATTGAGCAAGCGAAAACTTATGCGACGATTGATACTGCAATCACATGTTATTCGCATTGTAAAGAGTCGATCGACATGGTTTTCGAGTATTTGGGAGTCGGAAGTATTGAGGAATTTTCAAAGTGTTCCACACACGCGATGAGCGGTTTGATAGATATTGTGAAGAATTTCGATCCGAATTTTACAGTTGATCAATTTTTTCGTGCATTCAATACGCTTTTTACGAAGAACCGAAGAAAATTACCGAGTAATTCATAGTTTCTGTTTTCACACAATTTCTTTTTTTTTGAATAAAAAGTATATTGTTTTTTTTTTCGAAATTTGCCTAGTTATGTTTCACAACAAATCCTCATTTGCCTTATTCTGCTTTTTTTTTCTCGAAATCTTCGTAATTCTTCTTTTCATTTATGTTCTTTTCTTTTTTTTGGATTTAAAACCGAAATCTATCTTGTACGCAAAATGTCGTCGGCGTGTCTCTGCGTACTTCGAATCTATGCATCGAATATGACGACATGATGGATTTGGATTGAGATTATTGACTGTCAGCTGTTTTTCTGTGATTTTCTTCGAAAAATTCGCGAATTTGAATCAGTTAGACAGAGAAAACTCGATTTTTAGTTATTTTAATATTCAATTATAAAGAATTTTCAGATGAACGAAGCGGTTATTAAAGAGGAAGTCATCGAAGAAGAACATAATTTTACGTTCAAAAATGGTGAATACGTCGAAGCAAAACAAGAAGAAATTGAACAAAAACCTGAATATCTTCTAGAAAAAGAAATCAAAACGGAGAGGAATGATGATTTTTTTGAAAATAATTATGCGGGTCGTTTTTTCGAAGACGTCAAACAGGAGCCGAAAGAAAGTGATTCTAAAATTGAGAAGGTGTGCAGAACATCTAGTATGATGACATGCAAAATTTGTCAGTCAAGAATGCCAAGAAACCTTTTGAAATTGATCAAGACGGAAGACGAAAAAACAGTGCTTTCTCACATATTCAATATTGAAGGATTGATGGAAATGAATCCGATGTATGTCTGTGTTTCTCATATTCAAAAAATTATTGATGATTATACCGGCAATTTGAAGTTAGTGGACACTGCATTTCAGTATCTTCTGTGCTCATTCATGATACAAAACAAATATTTAATGCAAGTTAACAAAAAATCGAAAAATTCATCAATGAAAGTTTCAGGAAAGTCAGCACATCACAAAGACGATATTGCCACATTTGTCGCTTGCCTAAAGAACTTTCCAAGATACATCAATTCTGTTCAAAGGGTTTTCGAATGGTGATAATTGTTGGATGCATTCTACGTGGCACTCATTCCTATAAGCAAGCAATTTCTTTTATGACGACAAAAAAGAGAGTAGTCACATGTCATTCACATTGCAAAGAGTCGATTGACATGATCTTTTTACATTTGGGAGTCAGAAATATTCAGGAATTTCGGAATTCCCCCGCACACGCGATGGACGGTTTGATGGAAATTGTGAAGAACATCGATTTGAATTTTACCGCAGAAGAAATTGTTTTTGCATTGAACCAGCTTTTTGAAAAAATGCCAAAAAGTTGAGAAGAATTCGTTGTTTTCGTTATTTCTTTTCACACAGCTTCTTTGCTGAATAAATGTTTACTTTTCTTTTTTCGTTTTTTTGTTCTTCTCAAAATTTTCGTAATTTTTCCGCTGATAAACCTTTCATTTATGTTCTAGGCCGCTGCCTTCCGGAATGCTGCTTTGTACGCAAAATGTCGTCGGCGTGTTTTGCGTACTTCGAGTTTTTGCATCAAATTTGACGACATAATGGATCTTGATGTGGAAATTATTTAGAAACTTCAGCTCTATTTTGGTCATTTCCTATCAAAATTCTCGAAATTAAAACAGTTCGGCGGAGCAAAAAAAGTCGATTTTTCTTATTCATAACTTTCAATTATGAAGACTTTTCAGATGAACGAAGCTATTGTCAAAGAGGAAGTCATCGAAGAAACATGTAATTTTACGTTTATAAATGGTGAATACGTCGAAATGAAACAAGAAGAAATTGAGCAGAAACCTGAATATCTTCTAGAACAAGAAATCAAATTGGAGACGAATGATGATTTCTTTGAAACAAATGAGCCGGACGAATTTTGCGAAGACGTCAAACTGGAGCCGAAAGAAATTGATTCTAAAATTGAAAAAGTGTCCACAAGAACCACTCAGGGAAAATGCCAAATTTGTCGGAAGAGAATGCCAAGGAGTCATTTGACTTTGATCAAGTCGGAAGACTATAAAACTGTTCTGTCTGGAATGTTCAAAATCGAAGGTTCTTTGGAAATCAAACTACCCTATGTCTGTGTTTTGCATATTCGAACGATTATTGATGAGTATGACGGCACATTCGAGAAGTACGCGGGTACTCAATTTGAAAAACACTTGCGTACATTCATCTCAAAACACAAATCACTGATGCAAGTCAACAGTAAAAGTTTTGATAAGTTTAATAATCAGAATTTTCAGGAAGGACAGAAAATCACGAAGACAAAATTGCCGAGTTTGTGAGTTGCCTAAAAAGCGTCCTGAATTATACGAAATTGCTTCAAAGAATATTCGAATGGTGATAATGGTCGGATGCATTTTACGTGGCACTCATACTGTTGAAACAGCATTACCGTATTTAGAGAATAATAGAGGATTCACATGTTTTTCACATTGTAAAGACTCGATTGACGCGATTTTCGAATATTTGGGAATCAGAAATCTTGAGGGATTTTCAAAGTGCTCCACACAAAAAATGGACGGTTTGATGGAGCTTGTAAAGAAAATCGTTTCGAATTTTACAGTAGATCAATTCTTGCATACATTCCACTTGCTTTTTGTGAAGAAAACGAAGTTTCCGGTGTAATCTGTAGATGTGTTTTTTTCACATAACTTGTTTTTTAATAAATATTCCCTTACTTTGTTCCCCAACTCTATATTTATCGAAAAATACTATAATTTACGTTATTTTTCCGTTATTTCCAGGATTAAATCCGGTTCACGACACCTTCTTTTGCTTATCAATTGAGACCCCGCAAATTCCGGGGAAAAAAACTCCGGGGAAAAGTGGGCGGAGTCGGGGCGGAGCCTAAAATGCAACCCTGGCACGGTTTTTTGCACATTTGGACACGGTCATGAGGGGGCGGAGCCTAAATTAATAATAATAATAATAATATATTTATTTGCAATGCATGGGGGGAAATCTATAGATAATTTGGCAAGAAATGGGACCTGTACAAATAAAAAAGTAAAATGACCAGACGGACCGACTTTTCTTTTTTCGTTTTTTTGTTCTTTTCAAAATTTTCGTAATTTTTCCGCTGATAAACCTTTCATTTATGTTCTAGGCCGCTGCCTTCCGGAATGCTGCTTTGTACGCAAAATGTCGTCGGCGTGTTTTGCGTACTTCGAGTTTTTGCGTCAAATTTGACGACAAAATAGATCTTTATGTGGAAATTATTTAGAAACTTCAGCTCTATTTTGGTCATTTCCTATCAAAATTCTCGAAATTAAAACAGTTCGGCGGAGCAAAAAAAGTCGATTTTTCTTATTCATAACTTTCAATTATGAAGAATTTTCAGATGAACGAAGCTATTGTCAAAGAGGAAGTCATCGAAGAAACATGTAATTTTACGTTTATAAATGGAGAATACGTCGAAGCGAAACAAGAAGAAATTGAGCAGAAACCTGAATATCTTCTGGAACAAAAAATCAAAACGGAGATAAAAGACGATTTTTTTGAAGCAAATGAGCCGGATGAATATTTCGAAGACGTCAAACTAGAGCCGGAAGAAATTGATTCTACAATTGACAAAGTGTCCACAAAAACCACTATGGGAAAATGCGAAATTTGTCAGAAAATAATGCCCAGGAGTCTTTTGAGTTTGATAAAATCGGAAGACTATAAAACTGTTCTGTCTGAAAATTTTAAAATCGAAGGATCTTTGGAAATCAAACTACCCTATGTCTGTGTTTCTCATATTCAAATAATTATCGATTATTACAACGGCAAATTGAAGTCACCGAGTACACAATCTGAGCAACTTTTGCGTACATTCATCTCAAAACACAAAACATTGATGCAAGTCAACAGTAAAAGTTTTGACAAGTTTAATAATCAGAATTTTCAGGAAGGGCCGAAAATCACGAAAACAAACTTGCCGAGTTTGTCACATGCCAAAAACCCGCAAAACTGAGTTATATGAAATTGCTTCAAAGAATATTCGAACAGTGATAATGACTGGATGCATTCTACGTGGCACTCATTCCGTTGAATCAGCAATGCCTTATATAGAGAATAATAGAGGATTCACTTGTTTTTCACATTGTAAAGAGTCGATTGACATGATTTTCGAATATTTGGGAGTCAGAAATATTCGGGAATTTTTAAAGTGTCCCCTACTCGCGATGGATAAGTTGATGGATATTGTGAAGGAGATTGTTTCAAATTTTACATTAGATCAATTTTTGTATGCATTTAACTTGCTTATCACGAAGAACAAGAAGTTTCTGAGTAATTTGTAATTGTGCGTTTTTCACCCAACTTGCTTTTTTTTTTGATAAATGTTCCCTTTTTTTTATTCCCCAACTCTGACAGGTTAATTTTTTTTTGCTTCCCATCTCTCTCTTGCTATATTTCTCAATAAAATACTATAATTTACGTTATCTTCCCGTTATTTTTGGGTCTTAATTCTACACCTTCTTCTGCTCATCTTTTTGAAAAAATTAGAAAAAAACTTATCCAGATTGTGTAGAAATATTCAAAAATACGATTTACATTCATAAAAACTGCTAAAATTCTCACTAAGGCTTTCAAAAATGCACTCAAAAAGTGAAAAATCGTTTTTTATTTTCCGAGCTCATAACTTTTTTAAAGATGCAGGAGTGAAAAAAGGATTTCAGTTCTGTAATCAGCATGTTGGAAAGTATCTGAATTTCAAAAAAAATCCAAGCTCGAGACCGTACAAATCGGAAAGATTTTAAATCCGAAAGAAACGAAAGCGAAAGAAACGAAACCGTAAGAAACGAAAGAAAAGAAACGAAACGGAAAGAACGCTAAACCGTGCACAGTTTTGCTAAAATCGCGTGCGCAGGCTCCAAATGGGCGGGGTTTATCTGAATTGAACGAGAGATTTCTCGATTGAAAGAGATTTAGAGAAAACTCTGCACTTTTTTGAACTTCGATTCGGATTTCACAGTAGATCACTTTTCCGCGCATTCCACTTTATATGAAAAAAAAACAAAAAAAGTTCCAAACGGTACGTAGATTTTGTTTTTGTTTTGTTCTCACAAAACTTTTTGCATAATAGAAAATTCTGGATTTTTTTCTTTGTTTCTCAATGAAGTTTCTTTGAGCCTAATTTGCAACCCTGGCCCTGTNCGGCAAACCGGCCATCGATGTTCTGGGACACCCTAAAAACTCCTGAATACCACTGATTCCCAGATGCTCGAAAATTATGTCAATTGTCTCTTTGCGATGTGAATAACAAGTGGCACCTTCTTTATTCGCTATGTAAGACTTCGCTTGATCGATTGAATGAG